TGGAATGTCAACAAAGCAAGTTTCCAGGCTGGTTCCCAGCAGAGACGTGGGAAAGCAGCAGGCCAGGAGAAAAACAAAGACAAGGCGTCTTATCACCTCACAGCTGTGATGGTGTCTCTGAGAAAAGGCAAAAGCCTTAGTCGGGGGAGGCTGTGGCCATGGCAACCGTGGGGGTCGAGCAATGCCATGGCAACTTTGGAAGACAGCCAGAGAGACACTTTATCTCTTATTATAGACTCGGGAGCTTTGCATTGCCTGGTGACATCTAGAGGGCTCCTGAGGAACTGCAAGACAGTTAAAACTGGACGCTATGTCACATTAGCGGATGGATCTCAAAGACCACTGACTGAATCTGGGTCTTTATATTGTTCTTTTAGATTGTGAGGTGCAAGCTTATGTGGTCCCGAGCTTGCCCACTCTCTTTTAAGTGTGCCAGCATTAATGGCTGCTGGGTTTGATATTCTGTTCTCTAACAATTTGTGTTCCTTCTACAGGGATGGGAAGAAGATCTACAGTGTTGAGAGGAAAGACAGGCTCTTTCTGGTGGAGATGCCTATTGAAAATGGGACTGGTGGAAAAATGGGGCTGGTGGAAAATGGGGCTAGTGGAGAGTCCATTGAAGACGCACAAGTGCAGTGTGCTAATGTCCCACCACACAATGATTGTATTCACTGTGGCACCGAAAATTTCACGCAGGGTGGTCTATGTGCGAAAAGCCGCAGAGAACACATTGGTGTAGGTTCAAGGCATGTGACAGATACCTAGATTGTCAAGCCTGTAAGCAATCTAAGGTCACAACATGCACATACCCCAGGTCAGAGAGGCGAACCAGCAAACCCTTTGAACTTGTGCATGCAGATTTGTCAGGACCCATGCCAACACCTTCTTTAGCTGGGTCGAAATGGGTTTGGTTCTGATTGACGATTTTTCGAGGTTCTTGGGTTTTTCGCTTAATGAAGTCAGAAGCAGCTGCACTGATCAGAGATTGGATCACAGCGATAGAGCTGCGTTCTCTACCAGGGTGATTTCCTTTCAATCTGATCGCGGGGGGAGTTCACAGGTTCTGCGCTGCAATCGTTTTTCAGGCAGAAGGGTATCAGTCATCGATTGACTGCCCCCTACTCTCGCAACAGAATGGGATTGCAGAGAGGGAGAATTTCGCAACATACAGGAATCAGCATATACGCAAATGTTGGCAGATTCGGGGTTGCCACAAAAGAGGTTTTGGGCTGAGAGTTATTCGACAGCATGTTTTGTGCAGAATAGGTGTAACAATTCCAATGTGGCAACACAACATAAAACAAAAACCGTAATTTTTGTTGCATTCAGAAGAAGCCGAAGGTTGGAATTTTTTGTCATGAGTTTTTTGAGGGTCTCCGGCTGGGTAATCTTCACTCCCAAAGGACCATGCGCATAAAGGTGAGCCAAGGTCTAGGGAAAGATGGAATCTTTGTGGGCTATAGACCGGGTTTCAAAGGCGTGGCGTTTCGCATAACACCTACGGCAACCAGTCCAGACTGCTTATGTAGGCGGCCAGTGCCTAGGAGTTTTGCGAGCAAGAGTGGGTCGGAAACCGTTCTTCACCGGGGAACCCAGATGTTCTGTCAGGACTCAGATGAGGAAGAGGAGGAAGGCGAGGCTGAACCGGCTGCTGATGCGCACGGTCCACAGCAACAGGGTCCAGCGCCAGTTTCTCCAAAAGGGAGTCCCAGGACTCCTCCACAGGTTTCTGTCAAGTCTGAGCCAAAGAGTGAGCCCTCCCCGCCTGCAGAACCAGTTGTGAGGCCAAAAAAGGCGCAGCAGGTCAGAGGGGGAGTTTCTGACACAGGAGATGGTAGGGTTGATCCAGGTGAATCAGGCGCAGTTCCAGAATTCACGCTGAGGAGGTCAGCAAGATCAACGAAAGGAAAGCTACCTGAAAGGTATGAAGCCACTAGTGTTTGGGTTGGTGTGGCTAGGTGTGAACCTGAATCCTTTGAGGATGTTCAGAAGTTGCCTCAGCAAGAAAGCTAGCAAATGGCGCGAGGCGATGCAGAAGGAGATGAACTCAATGGAGTCTCATGGTGTGTTCTCACTCACACAGCTGCCGGCTAACCAGCGAGCTGTTACTTGCAGATGGGTTTACCGATTGAAACCCACAGAAGCAGGAGAACCACAGTATAAAGCGAGATTAGTGGCCCGAGGATTCTCACAGAAAAAGGGGGTACACTTCACGGAAGTGTATTCGCCAACCTCGAGAGCAGAGACTCTGAGAATGCTTTTGGCGATAGCAGCACAGAGAGGTTGGAAGGTGAACCATTTTGATGTAGATGTCGCCTACCTGAACTCAGATCTCAAGGAGGAGTTGTACATGCTTCCTCCTCCAGGGTTTGAAGTCAGTGAGCCAGGCGTCGTGTGGCGGTTGCACAAATCCATCTATGGATTACGTCAATCTGCCAGGAATTGGAATATGTGTCTACATGAAGCCTTAGAGGAGCTAGGTTTTAAGAGATCTCTTGCAGACAGTTGTCTTTACATTAGAGGTTCAGGCTTAAAACAGCAAGTGGTGCAGGTGTTTGTTGATGATATCTTGGCAATGGCACAGACAGGTGAACAGGTGGAGAAGTTTGCTAAAGAGCTTGGAAAACGGTTCAAGCTGAAGCAGCTTGGAGATGTCAAGTCTTACCTAGGCGTCCAGATAGCGAGGACTGAGGATGGTAGTTTTTTGCTTTGCCAGAAAGGTAAGATTGAACAGTTGCTTGAGAAGTTTAGGATGAGTGATTGTGCAGGAGTGAGAAGTCCTATGGAGACTAGTTTTGTGAAGGACAGTCAGCAAGTAGAACGCGCTGCGTTCGAAAATACTGAAGTGTTTCAGTCAGCTCTAGGGAGTCTGTTGTATTTGTCCCAGTGGAGCAGACCAGACATAGCATTTGCTGTCAATCTGCTCAGTAAAGAGGCTGCAAGTCCTAGTGTACAAGCCTGGAATGGCATCAAGAGAGTTCTGAGGTATTTGCAGGAAACCAAAGACTTTTGTCTTAGGTTGTCAGCTCAAGGAGAAGTCAAACTGACTTGCTTTGTGGACTCGGATTGGGCTAACTCTGAGGATCGCAAATCAGTATCAGGTCTAGTGATGAAGTTTGGGGACTCAGTAGTTGGGTGGAGGTCCCGGAAGCAAAGTCTCATAGCGCTTTCGTCTACTGAAGCTAAGTTCAGTGCGCTATCAGATGCTTGCAGAGAGCTGGAGTTCTATGTGTGTTTGGTCGAAGAAATCTGTGAAGAGGATTGTCTGCCCGTTGTGGTGCATGAAGACAATCAACCATGCCTTAAATTAGCTGAGACGGGGCAATTCAAGGCGAGGACGAAACATTTGGACATACGTTTTCAAAATGTGTGTCAGAGCGTTCGAGAGGGGCTAGTTGCTCTGAAATACTGTCCCTCAACCAAGAACCTCGCTGATGGTTTCACAAAACCATTAACCTTCCAGAAGCACGAGGAATTCTGTGAGGGTCTGTGTATGAGGAAAGCATTGTTGGCTATTGTCCCCAGATGCAGGACAAGAGGGGGTGTGGAGTTTGGAACTGGCAGGGTTAAAACTCCGTGGTGCCCTGTATCTGGGAGGAGCTCTGGGAGGAGCTTGATGCAGGGAAATGCGTCACAGTGTGTGTCTGTGTTCAGTTCTACTTTCACTTCTGACTGAGACAGACACAGCTCAGCTCAGAGGAGCTGTGAGGGTGCTTTTGGAAGCACGGAGAATGGCTGAAGTTTCCGATGGATGTTAATGGATTTATTGCCTTGTAAATAAACGCTTCTTAAGATAAGAACCGATCTGCCTATGGACTTGATTTATCCCTTTCTCACATGGACTCAGGACCGCTGCATTACTCTGCTAGGCCAGCTCAGAGCTTCCAGGGATACGGAGCTGAACTGGGAAGCTTGCTGGACCCAATATTCCGGACGGGGAATTTATTTTCACCCCCAGAGTTCTGTAACTTCTCATGGAGCACCAGAACAGGGGCCCTTCCCTTGCTGCCCCTGTCCTCCACCATCCACATGTCGAGGGGAAGGCCTGACAAGGGGAGTCTCCTCTGCTTTTCTAGGCTCCCCACCTTGATTTCGTACCCTCATCATTCAGAGCTCCAAACAGGGGTGGGTGGGTAATGTGCCTAGAGTAGACCTCTCCCTTTCAGACCTTCCCCTAACACTAGGGAAATGGGACTAGCAGAGGATGTGATGGTACTCCATACAGATGGTCCAAATAAAACTAGTGTCTGCGGTGGTGGTGGGGAACTAACAAGGGTAAACTGTTCATATTTATATGGCTGCACAATAATGTATATACTTTCAGCTGCTAAAAAGGTGACTGTCTGAGGAGTCATGCCTGTTTACATGAGCCTAAGACACCTGCTGCCACATGGACACCTCGTTGTCTTTAAACTCTACCACATGGTGAAATACATATTTTTATATCCCTGCAACCAAATGGGTTTCCCTTGTGGAGGTCGTGTTGATGGTGATGGAGGAATGCATTGGAATTAAAAGGGACAGGAAGTCTTCTATGTCCCTTCCCGTCCCCTTCTGTTCCCCACAAATTAACATGGGGCATCACTTTTCTGCATATACACATAGGTTGAGCCACTGGCATGCTGGCTTGCTCCTGTAATTATTGGCCACCTGAGATTGACTCACCATCATGTATGGATATAAATTCTTCCAACGTCGCTGTAGCCTTGTGTGCATATATTTTTTAAGTCTGAACCAGAAGTAGAAACAAATATTTCAAATGATAGTAGTGCAGTGTCAGGTGTTTGGAACCTAAAGAACCCTGTGAAAAAGTGTTGATATTCCTAGTTGCCAGAATCAGATTTTTGGACACCCAGGCAATGAGGCAGCTGGGACTTTTCTTGACAGTGATTTGTTGCTTTTCCTTTTGAAGCTACTAAATCAACATATTTCATATGCACTTGCAATGTTTGCTTTCAAAACCTTTCTTGATTCCTTTTTTTCCTTTTCTTTTTTAACAGATGGCCGGACAGATCCGATTTTGGAGGATGTAGGTGAAGCCTTCAATCTTATGGGGGTCAACCTGCATGAGCTGGAAGATTACATACTCAATATTGAGCCAGTCACTTTTGCGCATCAAATCCCCTTATACCCTGTCAGCAAGAATAATGTCCTGCAGTTCCCCCAGCCTGGAAGCAAAGATGCAGAAGAGAGGAAAGAGTATATTCCTGATTACATGCCACCCATTGTCTCTTCTCAAGAAGGTGAGAAATTAATAATTTGCTTTGTTTTTATCTGCTTGTTTTTGAGCAGTAATGCCTGCTCGCTTGCATTTCAGGAAGCCTGGAGTCTGCTACCTTCTGTTTCGCATCATGAGGATATGTTACAGGTAGCAGCAGAATTAAGTGTTGCAGTAACGTGTAGTGGCAGCCAGCACATTTTGCTGTTCAGGTTTACCATGGTAGTTCAACTGGCTTCATTGACAAATGGCTCAAAGAGCTGCCATTGTAGGAAATGGAGCTGGGTTAGGATCACTGCTCAGCCCTGTTAGGTTTGGGGCAATTCACTAATGTCCCAGCATCAGTTTCCTAGATAAAAGTTGTGAAGAACCTGAATTAAAAACATTGTAGGGTTAAGGTTGCTCATGGGATGCATTACAACTTGGCATGTGAGCAAAGCATATTGGGACGTGTATTAATGAGCCAAATTTCCGAGTAAACATTCACCTGGTCACTATGGCTGAGTAAGAATAACAGGGAAGTGACCAGGTTTTGTGCCGTGGGAAAAGTAGGTTCTCTTCTCCTCCACCTCTTTTCAGGAATTTAATGTGCTATGAATTGCTTCAAAAGGCATGGCAAGTAGGTAGGCTGGTGAAAATTATTGTGAGCTACTAACTTCAGCTACTAACTACAGGGATGCGGGTGGCACTGTGGGTTAAACCACAGAACTTAGGACTTGCCGATCAGAAGGTCGGCGGTTCGAATCCCCGCAATGGGGTGAGCTCCTGTTGCTGGGTCCCTGCTCCTGCCAACCTAGCAGTTCGAAAGCACATCAAAGTGCAAGTAGATAAATAGGTACCGCTCTGGCGGGAAGGGAAACGGCGTTTCCGTGCGCTGCTCTGGTTCGCCAGAAGCGGCTTAGTCATGCCTGCCACATGACCCAGAAGCTGTACGCCGGCTCCCTCGGCCAATAAAGCGAGATGAGCGCTGCAACCCCAGAGTCGGCCACGACTGGACCTAATGGTCAGGGGTCCCTTTACCTTTACTTTACTAACTTCAGCTGATCAGTTTGGAACGCTGAGTGAACTGTGCCTCAGAACCCACTTACACAGATGGACAGTAATATGTCGGTGAGGATAAAGTGGCGCAAAGAGTCCTTGTATCTGAGAAGGTTTTCGTTCCAGTGGTAGGAGTACTATTGTAGGGTTGTATGTTTGCTCCTCTTGAAATGTTGTGTAGGGTTCGTGAAACCTAAGGGGCGACTGTGGCTGCATATTTCATATAGTTCTCTGGAACATAAAATAAAAAGTTGGAAATGTTTCCTTTTTCTACAAAAATCAAGGTGTCCCGTCCCAAATCAAATCTCTACATATTTTTTTATAATTTGGCAGGTTTAAGCCACTTTTGAGGGGCTGCTATGCCTGCAAATTTCATCCACTTCTGTCTGCTTTGATTTCCTATTAAAGTGAAATTTGTTTTCAGTGAGGCTGCTTCAGATCCCAAGCATGAGCCAAATTGGACAGACCATAGTGCAACTTGGAACAGATTGGGCCAATTCCTAAAATGACAAATATAAATAGGAACCAAACCTTGTGCCCTGTGCAGATTTTGTGGTATTGGTTGTTTCATTTTTTGTGAGTTATATAGTACTTGGATAGCAATTTCAGTTATTTATATTACAGTGGTACCTCGGGTTAAGTAGTTAATTCGTTCCGGAGGTCCGTTCTTAACCTGAAACTGTTCTTAACCTGAAGCACCACTTTAGCTAATGGGGCCTCCTGATGCTGCCACACAGCCGGAGCCCTGATTTCTGTTCTCATCCTGAAGCAAAGTTCTTAACCTGGAGCACTATTTCTGGGTTAGCGGAGTGTATAACCTGAAGCGTATGTAACCCGAGGTACCACTGTATATTTTATATACAGGTGTTTATATACAGGTGTTTTTGACACCTGCTTCGAACTAACGATATGAGAAAAGCCAAGGTAGAAATAGATAAATGTTCCTATGGACTGTGTAAAATTTGCATTCTAAAGTCACACATTTGTCATACAGTGACATTCAGTTACATCTGAAGCAAAATGTGGCAGCTCTATATCATAAGAGCGGTTCGACAGTGGAATTTGCTGCCAAGGAGTGTGGTGGAGTCTCCGTCTTTGGAGGTCTTTAAGCAGAGGCTTGACAACCATATGTCAGGAGTGCTCTGATGGTGTTTCCTGCTTGGCAGGGCGTTGGACTCAATGGCCCTTGTGGTCTATTCCAACTCTATGATTCTATATGAATCTGCCTGGACCATATCATCTTTGTCACAGCCTGTCCTCTGAGTCCCACCATGTTTTGAATTTAGGCACAAGATGACCAGAAAGGGGCTTTCCCTCCATAACTGGAAAACCCTGAACAGCAAAATGTGCTCCTGCCTGCCACTACTCATTATTGTAAACCTTCCTCATATTGCTCCAGCTCTGTGAGCATTTTGATCACTCCTTTCTGCATCTTTTCCAGGCCTGCGACACCCACTTTGCAATGCAGCCACCAGAACTACACATAGTATTCCAAGCATGGTCACACCATAGTTCTGTGTTATGTATTCATTTAATGCCCCAATGTTGCGGATGCATGGAACCGACACACAGAGAAGTGTTGCCAACAACACGACACACCTGTGAATTTTTGCAGGTTTCCATTTCCAGCTACATAATTCAGAATCTGAAGTGCTTTCTGCCAAATAGAGCTGACCGTGGGTTGCAGTCAGTGTTCTGCACATGTGGCTCCGCTGGCACAATGAGACTTAACGATTCCTCTCCTTCCGTGCACCACAAAATCTCTTGGTGGGTGTGTACCCCCAAACCCCGAAGCTGGTTTTGACAATATGGGAGGGGCCTGCACCAGTGGAGTTCCAGTATAGGATACAGCCTCACTTGCTACATTCTTGAGCCAGCGTCGGCTGCAATGTTGTGTGAGTGGCCCTTGAGAATTTATTTGTTCGTACATTTATCATGGGTGAAACTTGACAGTTTCTTCTCACATTATTATCTCTCTCAAATATTTTGTATGTGTGTAGCTATTGAGAAGTGAAGTTTTTGTTTTTAGTGCCTATTGCTTGGATAATTTTTCTGTGGTGGAGACTTTTGTGTATTTACTATAACCCATGACCAGCAGGTGTTGCTCTCCTACCTTATAAATGACTCGGGTTAGCGCTCTTGTCTGCTGCATGTGCTGGTCTTTGTGAGCTGAAATACCACATTCAAGCTTAAACAAATTGCTGTGTTCTGGATATAGAATTAGTTTATTTTGCTTGCCATTCGACGTAAATAGATATGATCGCCTCCATATCTAGGGAGGAACAGATCTTCCCTTTTCTCTGTTGAGACAGAGATTCTGTTTTGTATAATCCTGATTAGATCAAAGATAGCTGCTTTGTTTAGCATGAAAGGCCATGGCAAGAAAGGAGGACCATTGCTAAACGGTGGATTTAGATTCGTATACTTAATAAGCTTGTAGTTATGAGCACAGTGCATTAGGAAATACAGTGGGTGGACGTATTTCATATATAGTGCCTTGAGTAATCTCCAGTTGAGTTATATTTAGAGTAGACCTGTTGAAATTAATGGGCCTCAGTTATATCTTCAGTTTATCTGGGTCTACTCCGAGTAGGACTAACATTGGATAAAACCCATTGTGTTTTTAGGGTGTCTGTCTCGATCATAGGCAAGAATGAGGTACCCTATGAAAGCAAAGAACATGCCACTGTGTCAAATACCAATTCTGTCACTTTGCCGGAAAAGCAAATTCAAGACTAATTCAAGAAAAGGGATAAATCCCCAAGGCTGGTTGTTACCCAACTACCTCTCTTCAGTTGTTGGCTAACCTGTGATGAGACAGAAGCCCGGTGGAATGGAAGGCAATAGTTTGAGAGAGGTAGTGACCATGGGAATCGGGCAGAGAAGGAATGGGGTTTGGGATTGAATGTGATGGGTGAAAGCAGACTTGGGGAAAGAAAGGTGCAGGAAGTAGCAGATATGGGGAAGCAAAGTAATGATGAATCATAGGAAGGGTGGGTGGAGCAGACACAAAATTGGGGAAGCCGAGATTTATAAAACGACGCAGCAGCCGTTGGTGGCAGAGTAGGGTTGAAACCTGTGTGTCTTGGGTCTCTGCATGAGACCTTGCTGAGCTGCTGTTATGTGTCGCAAATTTTTGGATGAAAACCTAGCATAGGCCAAGTGGACAAAAGGGCTGTGGATATTGCCCGCCTATGTGACTTGCTTTTGGGAGACACAAAGCCGCTCCAGTACTTTGGCCACCTCATGAGAAGAGAAGACTCCTTGGAGAAGACACTGATGCTGGGAAAGATGGAGGGCACAAGGAGAAGGGGGCAACAGAGGACGAGATGGTTGGATAGTGTTTTCGAGGTTACCAGCATGAGTTTGACTAAACTGCGGGAGGTAGTGGAGGACAGAGGTGCCTGGCGTGCTCTGGTCCATGGGGTCACGAAGAGTCGGAAACGACTAAACAACAACAACAACAACAAAGCCGCCATTACAGTGGTGCCCCGCAAGACGAATGCCTCGCAAGACGAAAAACTCGCTAGACGAAAGAGTTTTCCGTTTTTTGAGTCGTTCCGCAAGACGAATTTCCCTATGGGCTTGCTTCGCAAGACGAAACGTCTTGCAAGTTCTTGTGAGTTTGTTTCCTTTTTCTTTAAGCCGCTAAGCTGCTAAGCCGTTAATAGCCGCTAATAGCCGTGCTTCGCAAGACGAAAAAAACGCAAGACGAAGAGACTCGCGGAACGGATTAATTTCGTCTTGCGAGGCACCACTGTACACAGGAATACCTGCATTGTGTATCACCCTTTGGAAACAGTGAGGAGTGCCCATTTCTCCTTCTCTCTCCTCATTTTGAATCGTAATTTTAGTAGCCACGATAGGCTGCCGGTTTTCAGGCAGCATGTTTTGGAGGCAGAGAAGCTTTGCAGTGCTAGGCTCTTAAGTCTGTATTGTATAGCCAGCCTTCCTGTCTCCCCGTTCCCTTGCGTTTCTGGCTAGGAG